TAAGAAAGAACTTTGAGAGGGCCGGGCAGTGCACTCAGCAAGTAAAGTGTGGCAGCTGGAGTGTGACTGTGGGTGGCTGTGGGACCAACCTACCATCCCAGCCTCCGAAGGTAGAGACTAGATCCCCAAAGCCAGATGGATGCTGAGCCCAGCCATATCTCTGAGTTCCAAGAGGGCCTTTTTCAACAGCTGAGGTGGGAGAGCCATGGGCTGAGTGCCAATGGCAACCTCCTTAGATGCAAGCATGTGCTTGTGCTCTCAAAGATGCAGTAAAAAAAACGAATGCATGTTCCAGGGCAGTAGGGATGATTGAGTGGTTAGAGCATGGGCTCTTGCAGAGGATGGAGCTTGGTTTTAGCATCCACATGGTGGCTCAGCCAACTATCCGTAATGCCACACAAATAAAAATAAAATATATATTTAAAACTACAGAATGTATCAAAAGTGGTTCAGTGGCAAGCACTTGCCTAGCACCTGCAAAGGCCCCGGGGTCCGTTCCCAGCACCATGAGAACAAATCAGTGTTTGTCCATTGCACATTGGTGTAACCTCCCACACACCTCTCTCTCTCTCTCTCTCTCTCTCTCTCTCTCTCTCTCTCTCTCTCTCTCTCTTTCTTCCTGTATCCTGGCGGCCATCACCCAGCTTGTAAACGCCTTTCCTTCCTCATATCTATCAGTAAAAATTTACAGAATGAGCAAACCTACCCCGTTCTTGGCTTGGCTACCCTGGGGTTTGTGCTATCATTTTCTCTATTTTCTAAATGTTAAAAAAAAAATTTTTTTTTCATTAGACACACCATGAGGGGAGACCTGGCAGAGCCCTAACAGTCTCTTGTGTGACTGGTACAGGTGGCTCAACCGCATCTCTGTATGAGAGGTGGTGGTCAGGGATTGGGAGGTGGCTTATGGCTAATCACACCCAATGAGGTGCACCCAGCAGGTAGCGAGGGTGTGCCCAATGTCTGCAACTGAGGAGGAGACAGAACAGGGACAGACTCACGAGGTACCGACACAAGGGTGCAAGCCCAAGCATAGCTCCCACTGGGTCTCCTGGTAGCTGGTACCCTGGAGGCCTTGGGGAGGACAAAAAAGCCAATCGGATTGAGAACAAAGGGAAGTAACCAGTGAGATGGTTAGACAAAGGCGCTGCGGCCAAGCCTGAACACCTGAACACCTGAACCCACGTGGTGGAGGGCAAGAACCGTGTGCTGTGTCGTGCACGAATGCACACACACTAACACAATGTTAAACGGCACTGTTTGCCCCCTCTGGGTCTGTGTGTTTGTGTGCCACATGGATGGATGTCAGACAACCTTTGGAAGTGAGTTCTCACCCTCCATCTCGTGGGTCCCGGGCATTGACGTCGGCCCGAGCTGCGTGAAATCCTACCTCAAGCTAAACTTTAAAAAGACGCTGAGGGCCGGGCGTTGGTGGCACACGCCTTTAATCCCAGCAGAGGCAGAGGCAGGGGGATCTCTGTGAGTTCGAGACCAGCCTGGTCTACAAGAGCTAGATCCGGGACAGCGTCCAAAGCCACAGAGAAACCCTGTCTCGAAAAACAAAAAATAGATATCTAGATAGATAGATAGATGATAGGTGACAGATATCTAGATAGATAGATGGATAGATAGATGGATGGATGGATAGGTAGATGATAGATAGATAAATAGATGATAGAATGAAAAAACTCTGAGGCTCAGGAGCAGTGATGTACCCAGCTGCAGGGGGCCCGACGCCCTCTGCCGGCCTCAGAGGACACGGCGCCCACATGGCTGACACACGTGCTTCTCTAAAAACTAAAATACGACCTAACATGAAAATGGCACTGCTTAACGTGTCCCCAAATACGCTCAGGGCGAGTGGGGTGCCCTTCTCGGCCAGGTCTAGCTCTTACGCCGGGCGCGCGCCCCCCGCTGGTCAGCGGCTTCTTCGCACATAGCTTCCTGGCGCCCGCTAGGGAGCCAAGCATAGGTTCAATGTCGCTCCGGATTGGCTCCGAGGCGCGTCCGGGGTCCGCTGGGAAATGTAGTCAGCAGAGGGGAAGGAGGCGCGCTCACTTCCTTCCTGAGCTAACTAACTTCACGCAATTCTGGCCAGCGCGGCACGCAGTCGACCGCCTCCTCATTTACATTCCGCCGCGGATGGCCCAAGGGCCTTTTCGGCTGACAGCATGTTTTCCCGTGCGCCCAGCGGTAATGCCAAGAACAAGTACGTCATCATCTGGCCAACTTGCTCAGGGCCCCTCAGAGCATGATGGGAGTTGTAGTCTTTTTCCGACTGCCTTCTGGGCGTTCCCTTTTTAGGACAGGCCCAGGGCGGCACACCCCATGCCCGTCTAGCATGAAAGGATTCCCACCCCCCGGGCTCCGTAACCGAAAACGCAATTTCCAGCATGCCCTGGTTCGCAGCGTGCAGCGGAAACGGAGCCCTCTATGGCTGGGAGTACGCCTGCGCCTCCTGTTGTCGTAGTGACAGCAACAGGAAGTGCGTGGTTAGGTTTTCCGGGATTCCAGGGCTGCTTGTCACCGCCACGCTTCTGGCGGCTGATTCTGGGAATTGTCATTTCTAGGAGGAGCGCCTTTGCCCTCTGTATAATCTCTGCCGGTGACAGCAGCCGGAAACAACGTCATCACGCCCCTCAGGGTCACACACAGCCATAGAGCGGTTCCCAGGCAGAAACCGAGAGGCCCTCCGGGAAATGTCCTTCGGGGAACGGAGCGAGAACGTGCTTCCCGCCGTCCACCTTACGCTCCCTAACAGGAAGTGCGTCACCACATTTCCCAGGGTCGCGCCGACCATTGGCCTTGCTTGGCGGAAACTGCCGTCCTTCCGCCGGTACTTCCCACCGCTTTGGCTACAGTTCCCAGAGGCCCTGCCTGTGCCTTTCGGGAAATGTAGTCTTTTCTCCCCTCTGCGCTAACATCGGTGTCTTCCGGCGGGTGCTCG